TAAGAAAACAATAGCGAAGAAAAATGGACCTGACTGGCGAACTCAGGCTGCTGAATGATTCCTACACACAAAAAATCGTATTATTTGAACGAAAAATGACCGTGGTGACCCAAGGTGGCCCAGCGACCCACCGGTGGCAGGCCACCAAACTCCGTCGTCCTGATGCCCCAACCCTAGGAAGCCTAAGTTTAAAGTTTCAGGGTCAGGAATCAAACCGTCTAGGAGGAGAAGCGACTACGCACAGACACTTACGCTCATTAGTAAGGTAGATGAGAGCTTAGCCTTGGCCAATGGGTGGTCAGATCAACAGAAGAACTATTTGATTGTTTCTTTTCCTGGTGGCTCTCCCTTGCAACAAGCTTGCATTGCCTCTCCTGCCACTCAATATTTTGATGCATTGTTAGTGGAGCTGAAGCTGAAATTGGCTGAATTTCAGCAAAGGTCCAAATTGGAAACAGTCAGTTGGAGAATTTGAAAGATCTTTGCGTGTTCTTTATACAGCTGCTCTTGGTACAGATGCATCACCTGATTCTGATGTACTGTATTTAAATAAGTTCATGGAAGGTCTTCCGGTCCGTTGGAAGGCCGTGATTGCCTGTGAGATGTATACCAAAGTGGCTGATTCCCTTGCGCATGCTCAACAGCTGGAAACCGCAGAGCGACTTCATGGATCTGTGGGAGACCCAGTGTACTCCCCAGCTTGGGCAGCATCAGCACAGATTAAAACACATGCCTTCACTGATGAAAATAGAATCTCTCAATTGGAGGACAAATTGGACATATTGACCACCCTCATGCAGCAGTTGCTGCAGGTGCAGATTGATGAAGCACAGGGGGATAGGTCGGGTTGGGGTGGAAACACTGGCGAGTGCAGCTCAGCCCACCGGGGTCGTTCACCCCACCGACGCTTCACCCCAAGGGCACCAGTGGGGGGGAGAAGCAAATCAAATGACCGGACAGTGTGTGGTTTTTGTAAAAGGAGTGGGCATTCAGTTCGCTTTTGCCGGGAACTGCAGGCAACCATCTGTGAGTCCAGTGGTAAGAAGGGGCACACTAAAAAATTCTGCCAACATTATACATCATCAAAGCGGAGTCCTGCGGCTGGTTCTGGTTTCCAGCCTCGGGTTTAAAAAAATTTGGGAAACTAGATGTGGTCAGCACTGAGGGGCATACGCTGACCTGTGACGACAAAGCCCCTAAAGTGTCAAATAAAGTGTCCTTCCATCCTGATTTGATGATGGGAAAATGTTTAAACCTTAATTTTCCCAAGAAAGGTATCCTCAAACCCTCAAAGCAAATAACACCACAAATACCAGGGATTTTTGTTTCTGCTAAAGTTGAAGGGGTAGAGATAAACTTGTTGGTAGACTCTGGTTCTACATTTTCTCTTGTGGACCACCAGTTTGTTGTCAGACTGTCAGGACTGGATCATATCCCAAAAAGGGACCGTCCGATAGTCCAGTCGGCTGAAGGTCATGCCTTGAAGATTATGGGGAAAATTCTCTTAGAACTTGAGATTGAAGGTCGGATCATTGCTCACCATTTTTGCGTGGTACGGAACCTTATCGTGCCATGTCTAATAGGCACTGAATTTTTGGTGAAAAATTCAATTGGACCATTAATGATTGATGTTGATGCTTCACGTCTGGTTTGTAAAGACGGAACAGATTCATGTGTACCCTTGAGGAATGTTGTCTTTGGAAGTGTTATTGTGACACAACCGGTTTCAATTCCAAGCCGCTCTGAGATGTGCATCCCAGTTCAAGTGGATGGAGTTTCAGATGCTTCAGAGGTTGTGATTGAGCAGAGTACGGAACTACCTGGTCATATTCTTTTGGCTCGGAGTGTAAATAAAATATCAGATGGAAGAACCTTGGTTCGAGTAATCAACCTAGGACTTAATGCTCTCCAATTGCATCGAAATGAAAAATTGGGAGTTGTTGAGGAAGCATGTGCAGTCCAGCCGGCTCCTCATCAACCAATGAGTCATTCAAATTCGGAAAGCAAATTCAACTGGAGAGACAGACAGTATAGTTCAAATGGTTTGGCTATGTCTAATTCCAATGTAGATCTGGAGAAATTTGATTTTCCAATGGACAATTTGAGCGCCAAGGAGGAAGGTCAACTTCGACAGTTCCTGGCAAAGAATCTAGATCTTTTCTCATTTCCTTGTGGGAAATTCGATCGAGCAAATAATATGACTCATGGTATCATCACTGCGGGCGCTGCATCGATCCGCCAGCCAGTTAGACGAGTGACTCATGAGCAAAGGGAAATCATAAAAGATCAGGTTGAGGACATACTCGACAAGGGACTGATCCGTCCATCAATCAGCCCTTGGAGTTCACCTGTCGTCTTAGTTAAGAAGGACGGTTCGTGGAGGTTTTGTGTGGACTTCCGTAGATTGAATGATGTGACTGTCAAGGACAGTTATGCCATTCCTCGTATAGACGATTGTTTGGATGCTCTGTCTGGCGCCAAATATTTCTCGACCGTAGACCTAGCATCTTGATACTGGCAGATCCAAATGGCCGAAAAAGACCAATCAAAAACAGCCTTTAACACTCATTTAGGCTTGTATGAGTTCATAGTCATGCCTTTTGGTTCGACGTGTGCTCCGGCAACCTTTCAGCGTGCCATGGAAAGCACACTTAGGGGTCATCAATGGGAGATTTGTCTTGTATATCTAGATATTGTATTAGTCTTCAGTAAGACCTTTGAAGAACATTTAGACAGACTACAACTTGTATTTGACAGACTTCGTGGAGCTGGTTTCACCCTAAAACCTGACAAATGCCATTTCCTTCGTCGTCAGGTGGAATATTTGGGACATGTTGTCTCAAGTAAGGGTGTAAGTCCTGACCCAAAGAAAATAGAAGCTGTTAAAAATATCCAGTTCCCAATGTCTCTCAAAGAAGTTAAAAATTTTCTTGGTCAAACCTCTTATTATCGTCGTTTTGTCAAGAATTTCAGCATCATTGCCAAACCATTGATTGCAATGACGGAGAAGCAGGCGAAAGTCAAATACACCTCACCAGCCTTTCATGCTTTCTATCAGCTGAAGAGTGCCTTGGAGGAAGCACCAATTTTACCCAACCTTTTATTGTGGAGACTGATGCCTCGACAGTTGGGTTAGGTGCTGTTTTAACAATAAATTTCGGAGCTGAGGATCCATGAATTGAACTCCGAGGATGAAACGGGTTACATTCTAGACGTTGATCTGGACATCCCCGAGGAAGTTCACGATCGCCTGCAATTGTTACCTCCCGCTCCTGAAGTCATGAAAATCAAGAAAGAAATGCCAAGCGCGTATAATCGAAAGCACAAAGATTGCAGGGCAAAGAAAGACCAATAGCTTATGCCACTCGTGTTTTATCCAAGCCAGAGCGGAACTATTCAGCCACAGATAGAGAAGCTCTTTTCTTGTGTATGGGCCAGAGAACAGTTCCGTCCATATTTGTCTGGATACTTCTTTGTTTTGAGAACTGACCATGATCCCCTACGATATTTGAGAACTATAAATCATCCAACACCACAAATGAGTAGGTGGATTCTACACCTGGAACAATATCTGTATACCCCTGAACATAGGTCAGGAAAATCTCATGTTAATGCAGATAGACTTTCGAGATTACCTCTGCAACCTGAGGATTCAGGAGATGCAGATGATTTTGTGGACAAATAACTTTTTCCTCCAGAAGGTGTGACTGCTACTCAGAATGAACAAGAATATTCTAGTCATATTGTGCCGTCTTTCCCAAGCCATCCTGAGCAAACAATGTCAGCCATTACACAACTTCAACCTAGGATGAATTCTTTCGATATTGTACAATGGCAGCGTAGGTGTCCAAAGCTGTCTGGCATTTTGAAAATGTTAGACGGTGAAGCCATGAATTTGCCACAAAAGCAAGTTGATTTAGAAACTGAGCATTATATTTGTTTGGCTCAGTCCAATCAGATTATGACTCCTAATGGATATTTGCAATATGAAGGACGTGTCGTGGTACCTGAGGATGCAAGGGCTAATTTGTTGACAAAAGCTCATGATGACCCAACTTCAGGGCATATGGGCGTTGAGAAAACTCTTGAAATACTTAGGCATTCGTGAGAATTGGGGAATGGGTGAGTCTGTAAAGGACTGGATCCGGACTTGTGCAATATGCCAGTCTTTGAAGGTCGATCGTCCTAGTACTAGGGAACCTTTGACTCCTATGGCTATACCACCTCCCCTTTCCATATGGACATGTGATGTGATGGTAAGATTGCCTGTAACACCCAGAGGTAATTCTAATATCCTTGTTGTGTGTGATTCTGGAACTTGTTGGGTGGAAACTTTTGCAATACCTGATCAGAAGGCTGAAACGGTAATCAATCTTTTGGTGAATGAAGTATTTTTTAGATATGGTTTACCAGAAGCCCTTCATTCTGATCAAGGCCCTAACTTTGAAAGTCGTTTGTTGGCTGATGTTTGCAAAAAGTTAGGGATCAGAAAGACCCGTACAACCCCGTACCATCCAAGAGGGAATGGTTTAGTTGAGAGGACGAATGCTGTGATAAAAAAGATTCTTCATCCTTGGCACAGCGAGATCCATTGAATTGGGATTTGAGTCTGCCTGCTGCTTTGTTTACCATTAGGACTGCACTGCATTCTTCCATGCAAATTTCTCCCTATGAGGCTTTATTTCAAAAAGTGCCAAAGGCCCCTCTTCATTTTGAATTTCAACGAATAGATTCATTGGCTGACCTTACTTCGGTCAGACTTGAAAATGCCCTGGATTTGATGCAGCGAAATCTGAAGATCGCGCAGGCACAACATAAACTTCATTTTGACATCCAAAAACCTCGCTCACATCCTTTCAGGGTGGGAGATGTAGTTCAAAAGAGGTATAGGCCAAAGCCAAAGGAGAGTCCCAAGTTAGCCCCTACGTGGGCTGGGAAATTTATAGTTGAAAGGGTCTGTGACCATGGAGGTGTGGATGTAAAGAACATGTCAAGAAGGATTAAACGTGAATATGTTGAGAATTTGCGAAAGTTTTCTTTGCGGGGTGATGAATTAATGGTGGAATTTCAACCCATTAGGCCCCCTCAAGTTCGTTCTGAGTGTACTAAATATCCTTGTGATACTATAGATGATGATGATGATTTGTGGGAGGTAGCTCACATTCCACAATCACCTGTTGTACAACGAACCCCAGTTCCTGACCCAGTTGTACCAGAATTTCCTGTGATACATGTAATAGATCCTATTGGTCCACAATTACCTGTGATAGCTCCTCCTGATAGACAAATTCCTGTGATTCCAGTAATCAATTATATTCCAAGCCCACAGGCTGAAGCACATAGTGACTCAGAGGATGAAGATATTTATTTCCCATTCTCCTCTGAGCCTAGAGTGACACGATTTGGGCGCAGAACTCAAACCCCTGCATATTTGACCAGGGGTGATGCGTTTACTTTCATTGCTCAAGGCAAGTTGGCGTCACACGCTCATATTGTTTCAAAGGGAAAGGTTTCTAATAGGACATTGAATGGGCTTCGTATTGGAGTCACTGCCCGAGAAAGGAATATTGAAATGTTGGAAACCTCATTGGATGATAAAGGAGAAGTTTTGAATAAGTTGGAGTCAAGTTTGACAGGTTTGAGAGAAAAATTAGAATTTGTGGAAAATAGGGCTCTGGATGCCGATTTTCAGGCCCTGGCAAATACGGGTGAATTGGATGTTTTAGCTGCTAGGATGCATGCTTTTGAACTGAAATTGGCAGTCCTTGGGGAGAATAAACCTGAGGTTCCTTGTATTCTGATGAATAGTGCGCGTGCATCTTTTTCATCAGGAGGTTTACAGTCCCCACGTTCACTGATTCCTTTGGCTAAATCCAGATTGATATCTAATCGATTGGTTGGCCCTTTGGCCAGTTCCAGTCAGTAAGTTGACATTCTGCCTGTTTCCTTACAACCCAAGTGTGTGCAGACCAGCCCTCCTGGTGTGGATTTCACCCTTTCCCCCCTTATCCGGGTGTGTGCAGACCAGCCCTCCTGGTGTGGGCATTCCATTTTCCCCCTTGATCTGGGTGTGTGCAGCTCTGCCCTCCTAGAGAGGGTCCTTCGGTATTTTCAGGTCTTTGTTGCCTGTTAATTTTTGTTTGGGAGTGAGGCATTGTCAGTTTGTCACAGGTTGCTGTTTTAATTGTAATTCCAACTCTTTCAAATTAAACCAATGGCTTCGGGAGGCCCCTCACGCTCCTTTGGAATTGAGCGCCCACCCAATGAATATTCAGATTCGCCGCCAATGTAGGGGCGGCAGGATGGGTGGTAATTGGGGAGAAGGAGCTGACCGGCCATCACCTGCTGAAGTCCTTGTTGTAGGTCATAGTTTCATTCGGCGGGCATTTGAACATGCCAACATTCATAGAGAGGCTTGTGTGCCCTTGACTCATGATGCCATTTTTCGCATTGGCATGGGAGGGGCCACATTGCCACCGATACTTGAAAAAGCTTCTAAAGCCCTTGTTTTTCACCGTGCAGTCCGCCTCATCATTGTCCATGGGAGCGAGAATGAGATCGACAAAGATCGGTCTGGTTCTCCTCCGATGGACTATGATGCGGTGTTTGAGGCAATTACTTCTTCCATTAATCTTTTTGTTAATAACGTTCCTGATGGCTGTAAGGTTATGTTCATTGATTCTGCCCATCGTTACCATTGGACATTGCCTGATGGTTCACAGGGTGAGGGACAAATGAAGTATCTGGAGCGGCTGTCCAGATTAATTGCCATCTTTCATTCAGTGAGGGACAGTCGCCATGAAATTGTTCTGAAAATGAGAAGAAACAGGGATATGAGCAACTTCAAGAGTTTTGGCCCTGATGGAGTCTACCTTAATGACTTTGCATTGCACTACTACTGTCTTTATTTGATGAAACATATCAGGCACGTGATTACATCAGTAAATTTCTCTTCCTTCTGGGCATTAAGCCCCATGCAGCCTGAGTAATCAGCATTCCAGCAAGGTTTCACTTAAGTAATATTAACAGTAACTCCTTTGGTGTAAAATCCTTTTTAAAATGTTTTTTCTCTCCTTTTTGAAATTTGCTTATGTAAGGTGGACCCCAAACTCTAAATAACCTAGTTAGTTTTTTTTTCCTTTCTTCAAAGTTTGGTTATTCTGGATGAATACAACTTGTCATGCATCTCTTAGAAAGTTGAGTTGGTCATATTGCATCAGTGCATTCTATTTCATTCCCTTGTGGAACCCTAGGTTCCCTCGGCTTCATTGGTACTCCCACCATCTTGGTACATTTAATTTCATGAATGGCCTTGTTTTTTTGTTTTTTTTTTTAGTTGGCCACATGAGTGGAAAATTTTTCTTAAAAGTATCTAGACTTTTGGGTGATTTAATTTACTTGTTAATAATTAAATTTGAGGAAAAACTTACTGGAGGAAGGGGGTGATGTGAGGTGGTCACTCTCTCCACTTTTGGAATGTTTTTGTGTTGACGTATGATTGTAGCCCCTGGGGGAGTGACCTCTGTGCAGCTCAGCCGTGGTTCACAATCCCCCAGTGGGCCTGGATTTCCTGGCCATATTTGGCAGTTCTTTTTGGGTGAATGTTTGTTGCTGGTTATATGTATTTGTGTTCGTCTCGGGTTGACAACACTGTGGAGGTGGAAGGCGTGAGGACAGACGCGCAAAATACGCCATTCCCTGCCACTTCCTTCCGGCATGTGCCTCACCTTACAGTGTCTCTCACTATAGAACTTATCTTAGATCTTAGAACATGCAGAAAATTCCGGCTTTAATATATTTCTCTAATGGACTGCTGATGCGAGACTGCACGGAGTCGGGGCATAGAGTCAACAAGCGCTAGCAGATAGCATTCTCTTGAAAGAAGTAATTTAACATGTGTGTGCGTGAGGGAGGAAAGTCAGTAACATCTGGGGGCATGAGAGAAAAGAAGGGAGACCAGACACCCTCATCTCTCCTGTTTTTCCCCCTTCTCACTCCCTCTCTTCCATTCGCGCGAATGTGCATGCAGATAATGGATCGCAAGCAGTGGCCATGTGCTGAGTGCGGGCGGCGATTTAGCAAGAAAGGAGATCGAGACCGTCATCGAAGCACAAACCTCAACCAGGTATGACATAGGTTGACATCTTATTCCATGTAATAATTCATCTTGGATATGATTACGATTGTGATCATGATGAGGATGATGGTATTGTAGGAAGAGCGTCCTGTCTATCCATGTCCACATTGTGGAAAACGCATCTCTCGAAAATACAACCAACAAAATCACTCCAGTTTATGTCTGCTTCGTGCACCCGCACCGTTACATGTGACACTGCACAATCAAGGAGTTCCTCTCGAGGTTGCCGTGCATGGTATCCACCATACAGGGACTCCGACAGCTCATCCTGATAATTCATTCGAAGAAAGACGATGCGAGAACGTCCAGGTACGCGGTGCTGTCGTTACCGTATTTGTTTATTTTTGCCTTGTCTGTGAAAATACAACAAATCTCTACGGTTGATGCAGCTATCGACGGAGACAAATACGTCAACGAGTCCTGTTGGGTGTCGTGATTGTCATGGACAAAATAAAAAAGAGCAGAACAGCGATGAATCGCCACCTGCCAAAAGACGACTCACCTCTCCTAAACCATCCACGAGTTTTGCGGAACAAATCAACGACAAAACGATCGTCTATCTTGACGAAATTCCTCTTAATGAAATGGTAAAACGCTTTATCTCTGTTTCATATTGAAGAGAAAGAAGAGAAAGAAAAATTACTCCTATATTTTTATGATATTTCAGAACCAAGCGGAATATTGTCCTCATTTCAACCGTGGACCATTCCGTCATCACTTCAACCTGAATCAACACATGTTGATGTTCACCTTTCACCTAGACTGCGCCCTGCAAACCAGGTTGGCGGAGGTTCAGATGTTCAACAACGCATCGAACGTTTCACCCTTGAGGAAACAGCGGCAAATCGTGGTGCAGAAAAGTACGCTTTACATGTTCAGGCAGAAATTGAGGATGCTGATCCCAATAAATTTATTCTCGACTCGAACGATCTTCTTCTCAACTTTCTTTCAAGATACTTTCAGCAGTGGGATCCATCAAATTGCAATTAGTATTGTCCATACGTTGTCACCGTCTGACGTTAGCAGGCAAACGATGACGATGTACATCCGTACCGACCCGGTCGGAATTATGGGCGTGCCTGACAATCTAGAAGAGAGAGTGAATGAGATCGTTCAGGATCTCACAAGAAGGTTAGATGAGGCGGAGAATCCCGGGAGCGGTTGGATCTATGATAGCGACGAAAAATTCCTCGTAGAAGTGACCCGTTTCGATCTGATCCAAGGCAGCAAATTCGAACAACTTCCTGATACGCTGAAGTCCATGCAATCCCTCATGAATCCACATAACGATGCTGATCAGTGCTTTATTTATTGCATTGCAAGGTTTGATCATCCTCCCATCATGAAAATTTTCAGGTTTTCAGGAAGTATTTTGCCGAATAGGATCCAGGGACTCACTTTTCCCGTTTCACCCGCGCAAGTACCTCACTTTGAGAAACGAATCGGGCGTGCCGTCACGATCCTAAGTTATAAGTGGGCGAAAGAACAAGATAGGATGTATATCATTTCGATATCGCTATATCGATAGCTATCGATATAGCGATATAGCGAGTTTGTTTGCCCAAAGGGCAAACAAACTCGCTATGGTCGCTCCTTCGGCGATCCCTTGCCTTGGATAGTGATTAATTCATTCACTTTTTGCGAAATGGGAAACACGTATTTAAATTACGTCCCCATTGAAATACGTGACATATGTGGTCGAATGTCTTGATTTTTGACAAAAGAGAACTTGAAAACGTCTGCTCACGAAAATATACCCCCAGGGCATGAATCTAAAATTTTGAATTTTTCCTGAACACATCGTCTTCTTAGGCACGTCCATGGCATGTTTCAGCTTTCATGGTGCATCCCCTTCGAGCATAGCTTTTGGGTTGGTCGGCTTTTTAAAGCAAGTTTTTTCACCAGCGAAAAGGGCAAATGTATGATATTGAAACTTTCATCAACAGAACCTCACCGGGAAGACAGAGAAAAGTAGCTGGCGCACGCATCACTGACGTGATATTGATTTAAGGGAAAATGAAACTTTTTTATACATCTCCTCAGAGCACAGCTTTTGGGTGGGTCGCTTTTCCGAATAAATTTTTTTGGCCAGCAAAAATTAGTTGAAAACATCTCCTTTTGAAATTTCTGCCCGCAGGGCATTTACTTCTAAAGTCTGAAGTTTTCTGCAGCATCCCAATAGGTAGTTACGTACAAAGTTTCATCTTTCCACTCCGCTTAATACGCCAGGACAAAAGAGAACTTGAAAACGTCTGCTCACGAAAATATACCCCCAGGGCATGAATCTAAAATTTTGAATTTTTCCTGAACACATCGTCTTCTTAGGCACGTCCATGGCATGTTTCAGCTTTCCATGTCTCTCCGTTCTACTCAAGCAAAAATGATGTTATGGAGGGGGATTGAGTAACAGGATATGGAAGGGAAAACAACCAAAAGAAAGCCAAGGTGTGGCCGGGAATTGAACCTGGACCTTCTCACTGCCAGTCAGATATGCTACGACTACACCACAGAACCCACCACATCAACTTGGCTCTCTGAATGCCATCCTCATCTGTCACAAGAAAATATTCATAAAAAAAACTTTCCCCAAAAAATGTGTACCCCCAGGGCATGCATCTCCAAAGTCGGATTTTTTCTGAACTCTGCATCCCAAAAGGTACATGTATACCAAGTTTCAGATTTCTAGCCCTTTTAGAACATGGTTAGAATTAGCGTCAGTCAGTCAGTCAGTCAAAAAAGGATTCTATGGGAGGTAGTCTTGTCTGGGACAGGACTACCTCCCATAAAATCCTTTTTTTCCTCGCTAACGGGGGAGACCATTTCGGAGACACAATATCAGCATGCAATACGCGTATGGGAGACTTTCTCTTGCAAAACCATTGGAGATTACGCTCAGTTGTATTATCGTCTCGACAAGATCCTTTTCGCAACCGTCTTTGAGCGATTTCGTCAACAAACGATGCAGGATTTCGGTCTCGAAGCATGCAAGTTCGTATCACTACCCTCGTTGAGCATGGCAGCAGCACTAAAGACCAGTTGTGTCAAGTTAGATCTTCTTACCGATATGGATCAACACCTAATGTGGGAAGCTAGGATTCGTGGTGGTATGTGCATCGCTCCAGAAAAGTTCAGCAAAGCAAACATTAAGTACATGGGGCAGCATATGATGAGACTAGAGAGAGTTCTTTTATTTTAGATTTTGATCGCAACAGTCTGTACGCGTTTGTCATGTGGAACTTTAAACTTCCGTGTGGAGGTTTCCGCTTTCTGAACGAGTAATAAATTTCAGAGCTGAGGATCCATGAATTGAACTCCGAGGTGCGTGGTGGAGATAACCCTCTCGCCACCATACATCTCCCGTGTCAAAATCAAAAACTGGTGGCGCACCTCGGTCCGCACTATCATTACGTTGTCCATGGTCTCACACTTCAATTGTATCTGGAATTGGGGGTTCGGATAACGAAAATAAACCAGATTCTCGCGTTTCAGCAGAAGGCCTGGCTGAGGGACTACATCGAGGGTAACTTAAAGAGATGAGCGAAGGCTACTTCCTAGTTCGAGGAAGACCTATACAAATTGTTTTCAAACGTTGTCTAGGGAAAGTGTTTAGAACGCGTTTGTTCGAGGAAGAGGATAGTAGTCGCGATGTCAGAGAGAGAGCTGCAGAAACTAGCGAGGAAGCCAACTTTCAAAGGACAATCATCGGTGAAAATCTCATTATTGTTCAACAGATTCTGACCCGGGTCACACTCGATAAATCGCTCCTTTTCGGTATGAGTACATTGGACTTGTCAAAGAGGCACATGTATACATTTCTGTATTGCAATCTTCAAGTGCATTTTGGAGACTCTTTGAAACTGTGCTATCAAGATACTGATTCCTATTTGATACATGTCAAGAGTGCAGATGTATTCAGGGAACTGGAGGCAATCAAAAACCACTTTGACTTCTCTTCTCTCCCTCCCTCCCATCCGTTGCATTCTCAAGAAAATGCATCTCGTCAGGGCAAATTCAAACACGAAACTTGTGATGGGATCATCTCTGAGCTAATCTGTCTACATCCAAATATGCACTCAATTTTGTTTGCGGGTGAAAGCGGGGAACAGATTGTTCGAGCGAAAGGTATGAATCGAAATTCGAGGACAATGGATGTTCTCTGCCATTCCAAGTATCGAGAGGCATTGTCAACGGGTGGGAACTTTTCTGTGACAAACGTATCGATCCGTTCGGACAAGCTTCAACTCTATACGTTCAAACAGAAACGTCACGATTTGGTCATGTACGATGATAAAGTATACCTTCATCAAACTTCCGGCGGAGAGTTCAAAACACTCCCATATAGTCACTATCGCACCCCGGAAGTTGCTGAGGGCAAGGAGGTCCAGGACGAATGTTTGAACGAGTAGAAATTTGTCCATTGCCACTCTAAATATTAGGTTGAGGCATAAGTTCTGACCCTCTATGACCTATGCTTAGAAATTTGACTGTCATTTGCTGATGTAAAATTCTGGCAGCTATTGCGTTTTGTACTTGGTTGCCGGTTGTCAGCCGAGTATTTTGATACCTCATTTGCCTCAAACCGTTTATTGTATCGCTCCATTTTTCAGCACAATGATTGACAAAAATATTTACTTCCGCGCCCTCTTACTTTACGCGTACCACCGCAAGCTGACCGCGACCGCTGCGTACCGAGAACTGCTGGAAACGTACGGTGAAACTGCTCCAAGTCTTTCGACATGCAAGAGATGGTTCAAGAAATTCGCCTCTGGGAGCGACGACATTGATGACAAACCCCGCTCTGGACGACCCACTGAGCTGAAGAATGAAGATCTGCAGCAGCTGCTCGATGAAGACCCGGGCCAATCTTCACGGCAACTTGGACAGCAGCTCGGATGCGACCAAAAAACTATCATCAGACATCTCCACGACCTCGGCAAGGTG